TAATTTTTTTTTAACTGTACTTTGTCTTAAATTTTCACATTTCCAATTGGTACATATACACATATGTTCTGGAGTTTATACATGTAAGATCATACATATATGTACCAATCATAACAAACTAAATATACATAAAAATAGCCAAATAGAAGTCTTTAATATGGAGCCCCATTTAAGAAAATATTTATTATTTTTATGTGTATTGCCTGCATGTAGGTAAGTGCACCCGTGTTGTGCAATGCCCATGGAGGACAAGAGGCCGTCAGGTCCCCTGGAACTGGAGTTATGGACAGTTGTTCGCTGCCATGTGGGTGTTGAACCCAGGTCTTCTGGAAGAACAGCCAGTGTTCTTAGCTGCTGAGCCATCTCTCCAACCCCGGAGCCCCATTTTTAATACAAGTTTTAAAACAAAAGGAAAATGCATATTATATTGATAATAAACAGAATTTACTGTGTACATGGTAAACACTATTTTAAATGCATTCCATATGGTAATTTATTTAATGCAACATTAAGAGTAAGTCCTACCCCAAAGAAGGGAAGTAATTTAGGCCAGTAGCGCTGCCAGTAAACAGAAGTGGGACTCAAACATTGGCAGTGTGGTTCTAAGGTCCAGTTATAACAAGGACACTGTACTCCTTCAAGAATGCAGAACAGGAGCTGAAGAGCTGGTTCAGTGCTTAAGAGCACTAACTGCTCTTGTAGAGGACCTGGGTTTGATTCCCAGCACCTACACGGTGGTTAACAACTGTCCTAACTCCAGTTCAAGGGGCTCCAACACCCTCTTTTGGCCTCTGCAAGCACTGTATGACATGGGAGTACTTACATGCATTCAGGCAATATACTCATACACAGTAAAAAAAAAAACCAAAAAAACCCCCACCTACACAATTTATAATTTCTTCATGCTGAGCGTGGTGGCACACACCTTTAGTCCCAGCACTTGGGAAGCAGAGGTAAGAGGATTTCTGTGAGTTTGAGGCCAGCCTCGTTTACATAGTGAGTTCCAGGCCAGTTGGGGCTACATGGAAGGAAACTATTCTCTCATATCCATATTTAATTATTTAGCTTTTTCTTTCTTTCTTTTTTTTTTTAAATTAAGAGCTTACAAAGGTTTCCACATTAGCCTTGGGGGGGGTATTGTGGATGGATGGAATGAAGTATTTAGGTTTATTATTTCTATTTTTTATTGCTTTGCTTAACCATTTTTGAAAGCGTAATTGTTTTAAAGTTATCTCATGGGACTGGAGAGATGGCTCAGCAGTTATGAGCAGCTGCTCTTGCAGAAGACCCAGGCTCAGTTCCAGCACCCACATGGCAACCAACAACCATCTGTAACTCCAGATCTAGGGGATCTAACACCCTCCTCTGTCCTCTGTGGGCATTGCACAACACGGGTGCACTTACATACATGCAGGCAATACACTCATACACATAAAATAAAAATTAAAAAAATCAAAAATTTTAAAAAAACTCTTATATGATTACTAATGATATTTTAATGAGGAAACATTTTTGGATCACTCAATCATTTGGAAGATGAATAGGGAGTGTGTATTCGATGTTCAGAGCCAAGAAGTAAATACTTTTAGTTGAAAATTTGTACTTGGACAAGGCTTGAGGATAATGCTATTTGAGGATTTGCTATAACACAATGTTCCAGGGCACTGAAATTTAATTTGGGTACTGTTCAGAGAATTGTCCTCCAAAATTTCAGGAATATTCTGTAAGGCACTACTGAACTGAACTAGATAACTGAGATTGACAAGGAGATGAACCAGGAAGAAAGTCATCAGAGGTAGAAGAGGAAAACTGAACAAGCCAAGTCTAGCACAACGCAAAGGAAAAAGTTTAAGGAAAAATCAAAGTAGCTAGCATGTGTCCACATGGTCAGCATTACTGAATACCTGCTCTCTACCAGGAACTATGACAGTCTTGAGGGATTCAGCACAGTTAAAAAACCAATCCAGTGACAGGCCTTGGAGAATTTGCATTTTAATGATGAAAACCACACCTATTTATATAATTAAAACTGTGATGAATTTTACCAATAAATAATGTTTAGGATCAGGTATCAATAAGAGTTCTAATTTTGTTTGACTTCAGTTGTTTCCTCTTAAAATTAGACTTTCATTGTCCATATAAACTATGTTAATATGACATATTTTAAGATTTGTTACTCTGAAATATTTGATCCATCTAATATATATTATGTTACATCTATTATTCTTTTTAATTTTTTGGCTTTTTGATACAGGGTTTCACCATGTAGCTCCGACTGTAACTCGCTATATAGACCATCCCAGACTGGCCTTGATGTCTCAGTAATCTGCCTGCCTCTGCCTCTGGAGTGCTGGTATTAAAGGCATTCACCACCATGACCAACCCTTATGATACTTTTATGAGGAACACATAGACAGTGGTGCTACTTCTTCCAGGATAGCTGACTGTAATATCTCCTTCCCAGTATCAGAAATAAGATATTTTTATGAAAGAAACATTGAGTTTATGTAACTACTACATTCATTAATTTAAAATGACTTGTTGCTTTTGCATCAAATGTTTTATAAGTAGGGAAATAAAAGACGTTTTTCTAGATATTCAGAGACTTTTAAAATTTCTTTTAATTATCCTTTGAATTCAATTTTAAAACATAAGTAAATCTGTTTGTCCACGATAAAGCAGAAAGAAGTCAAAAGTTGCTACCTGAGGACACTGGTGTGTGTTTGTATGAGCACACATGCCTGCCTGTACATAATATCAAGCTTTACTGCTGTTCATAAGAATTAAAAATTATATAAATAGCACAGATCTGATTTTTCTGGCAACAATACGTGATTAGAAGCATATGAGAAATTTTAGACAAAGTCGGTGTGGGCCTAGGATTGACGTTTCCTGTCTGACCTTTAAAGAATCCACATCATAAAAATCAAAGCTTCAGTTAGCTCCCGAGTAAAGAACTGTAACAAAGCCACCTGCTGTAACTTTCCCACTATCATGATGAATGTGTTACTCTAAAGAAGCTCAAAAAAATTTACATTATACCTTGGTTTTCTAAGTACTTTGTTTAAAAATCAATTTTTTTTTTTTTTTTTGGTCTTTTTGAGACAGGGTCTCCCTGTAGCTCCAGCTGTCCTGGAACTCACTATGTAGACCAGGCTGGCCTTGAACCCCCAGAGATCCCCCTGCCTCTGCCTCCCGAGTGCTGGGATTAAAGGCATGTGCCACCACGCCCAGCCTAGTAAACTATAATTTTAAGATCAGACATTATTTTACTGGGCCTAAGAAAAATTAATATCCAAGACAGCTTATGAGATGTAAATATTTAAGAAGTTTGAAAGATAACAACTGTAAAGTATAATTAAGACTAACATGTTAATGCATTTTGTTATATTCTTTTAAAAAATTAATATTATTGTATAGAATCCTTTGAAGTAGTTAATTTTTTAAAACTAAAATGAAGGGGGAACTTTGGCAGCTATTTTTCTTTTTAAAACAAGTATATACATTTTGTTTGGCTTTCATTTTTAAATGCAGATGTTCTAAACTACTAGTATATACAATAAAGCTGAGAAAGTATAAAATATTCATCCAGTGATACAAAACTAGCATCAGTGCTGAGCTCTTAAGAAAAGACCACAAATCTTCTGAACACTCCTTCTATTTCAGGAAAATATCTTCAATTTGAAGGATGAGTAGTGGAGAAGAGATATGCATATATTTAATCAGGGCAACAAAGCAACACAGGACAGACTTTAAGTGCTATTGATATGGATATTCCATATCCTTTAAAAATATAATTTGGGGTCTAGAGAGATGGCTCAGTGGTTAAGAGCACTGGCTGCTCTTGCAGAGGACCTGGGTTCAATTTCCAGCACCCATATGGCAGCTAACAACCATCCTTATCTACAGTTCCAGGGGATCTGATGCCATCTTTTTGCCTCCACGGGCATTGCATGATGTGGGTACACTTACATACATGCAGGCAATACACTCATACACATTAAAAAATAAAAAAATAAAAGATTTAAAAAATATAATTTGAATTTTCAGTTTTTAAGTGCCTGCTGCTCTTCCTAATGAACACAGCTTAGGTTATTTACAAAAATCAGTGATTCTACTACTGAGGCATAGCATTAAAAACTCTTGAATTTATGGATTAGCTTCTTAGAGTTTTGTCCATTAGATAAACCTCACAATGCCATATGAATAGAAGGAGAAAATCTACCTTAAGACAACAAAAATTCCCACCTTATTTAAATTGTTTGTAGTACCTATGGCTTCCTAATATACTCATTGCTAGTCATGAAAACATTTAGATCTCACAAAACTCAAGCTAAATGAGACTTACATATTTACATTATTGTTACTGAGGATGTAATTAAAGTTCATTGAGTAGAAGGACACTGGACTTAAAATTCTGTAATAGATCACTGTTTAAAAAATATGTCTAAAAAGAGAAAAATGTCTTGGGGCTAGAGAAGTGGCTGAGCAGTTAAGAGCACTGGCTGCTCATACAGAGGACTCTGGTAGGATTCCCAGCATCCACATGGCTGTTAACAACCATCTGTAACTCCAGTTCCAGGGAATCTGACGCCCTCTTCTGACTTCTGCAAGCACTGCATGACATGGATGCACTTACATACATGCAGGCAATACACTAAAACACATAAAAAATATAAAGTACTTAAAAAAATGCACGTCTCATGTGCCAACATCTAAGTGTTATTAGCAAAAACAATGAGTCTTTCTGTAAGAAAGTGTATTTTAAAATGAAATGGTGATCTTTTTTAAAGGTTAAAAACTCATTCAATTTTATGTCTTACAGGGTTTATACTGAGTTCAATATTGTATAACTGTATTAATTCAACTGTGAATTTAAAAATTTTACAGCCACTTTTGAAAGAAATGCATCTTTGCTCTGGAAATTGTTACTGAGTATGTTAAGGCTGTAATGAAATGCTTCTTCTAAAAAATAAAAAAAAAATTTAAAAATGCATGTCTTTTCGTTACTTATGCCTCTCTACATAGATATAAAAGATCATCACTAATTATCTATGATCTACAAAATTACTCCAGTATAAGCTATTCTTACTTTAGAGCTCCTGGATCTCAAGCTGAGATGTCTTTAGGTCAACTGTTTTCACAATGGTCTACTCTAGCTAGATACAGGTAAGATTTGCCTAACATACTTAGAAAAATAACTCACACTTTAGAAAAGACTGAAATGAGATGCTACTGTTCAGAATCCAAGGAATACTTTCTTCGTAAATTTATTTCTTATAAAATACCACTATGGTACCTATACGTATTTATTACATTTCTAATTTCTTGTGTGGTTTTTAAAATTATTGTACTAATAAATTTTTGTTAAAATGTTATTTCCTATGAAATCTATGGTCATAAGATACACTAATAAAACAGTATTAACACACCTATGTTAAGAACTGGAACCAACTAACGTTTAAATACAAATGTGCTTCAATTTACATCTTGATAAGCTCACCAAAGGTTGAAATATTCTAACATGTTGAAAAGTACTTGACATGCCTGACCTACTGACCATCAGTTTAGCACTCAGTGCTGCACGTAGAGTATCAGTTCTTCACCAACATGATCATATGAATGACTGGGAGCTACAATCTGATGCCCCTGGCTAGAAATGGAAGAGTATTATACAGCATATCACTGCCCAGGAAAAGATAAAAGACCTTCTATCAAAGGTCTATCACTTTCACATCACTGAAAAACCCAACCCAAACCATTACAAATCAGGGGTCATTTGTATTAGAAATCTTCCTCTTTATCTCATTCTTTTCTATGTTTTATAAAGGGGGAAACATGGCCTTAGGTGAGGCTTGCTGTGTTTACACCACTAATTCAGGTGTAATTGGGTTTTGCTAGGCCTCTGGTTAATACTCTTCCCAGCCTTTATGGTGGACCCACGCCTCCTAAATTGTCTAACCAGATACATCAAAAGGCATCAAAATGCTATCAAAATTATGGTTCTGAGGACCCAATATGAGCCACTAAATCAGAAGGAGTCAACAGTTTGACTCATGTCCCTGAGGCAGTGAGGAATGTTAATAGCCAGAGTTCCTCCATTTTGTGTATCTTGGTGAGCCTGGCCTGGGGCCAGAAGTTCCAGGAAGAGCTAAGGAACACATCCATATAATCCTGGTGTTAGAATATCAAATAGCCCCATAAATTAATTGGTCAAGACTATAAAATCCTTAGTCTGTTGACTCACCTTTCTGTTTCACTGGTCAAACATCTGGTCATAGGACCACCCCAGGAAGGCAGGTTCACCTTAAGTTATGCTAAATAGATGGGCAGAATAACTAGTGCATTAATGACATAGCAAATTTTTCGTACCTGGAATCCTACCTCCTAGAGCAAAACTCCTTGACCCAGCCATAGACAGGTCTCTGTAAGTCTTCCCACTTTTCTGAATTCCTGCTTTTCTGAAAAAGTGTAATTTCACCTTTTCTTCTTCATATCCCTTTTCTAAACAGCTTTCTTTAAGGCTTTGGGCTGCCTCTAGCATCTTGTATCTCTTTACTTTTTAAGTTTTATTATTTTTTTTTTATGTGTATGCACGTATTCCCTGCATATAGGTAAGTGCACCCGTGTCCTGCAATGCCTGCGGAGGACAGAAGAGGCTGTCGGATCCCCAGGGACTGGAGTTACAGACAGTTGTTAGCTGCTATGTGGGTGCTGGGATTCGAACCCGGGTCTTCTGCAAGAACAATCAGTGTTCTTAACTGCTGAGCCATCTCTCCAGCCCCCTTCTTTACTTTTTCTACAGCTTCCTTCTCCCAGCCATGTGGCTGTCAGCCACGTGTGTGACCTCCTTGTAGGCTGTAAACCTGCATGGCTTCATGGCTTTCTTTCCTTCTCCCCACGATTCTCCTCAAGCCAGCTGCCAAGATCACCAGCTTGCCTGGCTTGAGGATTTTTCTTTAAAATTCTAATAAAATTATAAAGACTCCCCTCACCCCAGTCCCCTCCCACTTAGGATGGCATTCTCAAAGTTGGCTCAGCACGTGCTTCCTGGCCAGCTAAATAACATTTGGCTGATTCGCAAAAAAAAGACCATTATCCTTTCAGTGATTAGTTGGCTCAGCACGTGCTTCCTGGCCAGCTAAATAACATTTGGCTGATTCGCAAAAAAAAAGACCATTATCCTTTCAGCCTTTCAGTGATTTTTTTCTTTTCTTTTTTTTTTTGTCTTTTTGAGACAGGGTCTCCCTGTAGCCCCAGCTGTCCTGGAACTCACTGTGTAGAGCAGGCTGGCCTTGAACTCACAAAGATCTACCTGCCTCGCACGTGCTTCCTGGCCAGCTAAATAACATTTGGCTGATTCGCAAAAAAAAAGACCATTATCCTTTCAGCCTTTCAGTGATTTTTTTCTTTTCTTTTTTTTTTTGTCTTTTTGAGACAGGGTCTCCCTGTAGCCCCAGCTGTCCTGGAACTCACTGTGTAGAGCAGGCTGGCCTTGAACTCACAAAGATCTACCTGCCTCTGCCTCCCAAGTGCTGGGACTACAGGCAGTGTGCCACCATGCCCGGCTGATTTTCTTCTTTTTTTAAAGACACTAAAAATTGATGGTTAATCTTCTAGAAAATACAATATGCAAAACAAAACACTGACCCAATGAGATTTGAATCTTCACTAAAAGCTTACTTAAGAACACATCTGTTGTGGTTTGAATGGGAAATGTCCCCCACAGGCTCCTGTGTTTAAACACTTGGTTACCAGCTAGTGGCATTGTCTGGGAAGGTCATAAAATCTTTAGCGTCTTGCTAAAGGAAGTTACTGGGGGAGGGCTTTGAGGTTTTGAAGCATGGCCCCAAGTCCTGTTTCCTTTCTGTTTCCTGCTTACTGATTCAATGTGATGAACTGGCCTCATGCTCTTGACACCATGCTTTTGCCATCATGATGGATGCTATCCCTCAGGAACTGTAAACCAAAATAAACACTCTCCCGTAAATTGCTTTGGTCAGAGTTTTTTTTATCACAGCAGCAGAGGAGAAACTAAGACAGTGTTCACCTGTCCACTCATTCACTGAACCAAGATTCCAGTACTATTCAAGATAAACAAGATCTCTCTGTTGAGTGGGGGAAATCTTTGTTTCGCTATACATAACCAAATAAATACTATTACTACTTTTATCACTGCTTAGTTCGGTCTTAGAGCTCACTTTAATGTGGAAAAATAAACGTCCAAGAGCTATTTGGGACAACTAAACCCTAATACCAACTATCTATGAACATACCAAACTGAGTTACACCCCTTATTCCATATAGACATATACACTAAATATATACACAAAGATTATCTATAAAAAGAATAATACATACTAAAAGATAAATTGCCTGAAGTGCCACAGAAATAAAAACAAGTATCTCTCAATTCTAGCACATTTTCTGTGATGGGTTAAAATTTTTCATTTCAAATGCTAATATGTAAACTGCACTAAACATTATTTCTCTACTATCTTCCAGGGGCCGAGTTACATTAACTGTTGTAGTTATTGATATGAGCTTGGATCAATTATTTTGTTAAGTCCAAACTGGATCTGAACTATAAAGTGATGGCTTTAAAACAAATATCTTTTAAACCCTAAAGGGGATTCAGGAGTTTATATCAAATTGATGTTTTTATCAATAGGAAGTTGTTTCTCAAAAAACATCTAGAGGCAGCTTCTAAACATGTAAATAGGTATTTATTCTATCTCTAAGTAATGAGTTTATTTCAATCTTGGATTCTAATTTGCTATTAACAATTTAGTGCCATTATTTAACAGAGCAGTTTAAAATAATCTTTCCATAAAAAGACCAAGCTTAATTTAAAAGCTTTGTCACAAAGGTTATTTATTTTAGAATAAAGATGTTAGTAAAACCTAGTTAGGAAGGAATTTTGAGATACAGTGGCTTAGACTATAGATTTCATAGCACACAAAGTTGATAAAACAAACTACTCAGTGAATGTGGGAAGTTGCTGGATTTTCCAGAAAAAAAAACCGGGGTATTCATGAATTAAACAGATGCTGTATTTTGCTATAATAAATAGATCCATGAATTGTAAAAGAGATACTACATTTTGCTATAATAATAAACTGGTTCTCTGATCTGCTGTTAGAATGTATGTCAAATGATGAGTGATTAATTTATTAGCTTACAAGGCAATAATTCAGACCCTTTACACTTTCTGTATTATCCAGCTTCTTTGTAGATAACAGTAAAATACCTGAGAGCAGGCTGTACAAATGACTTTTACAATATGGACATAATCCAGACTGAAGATTTTTACCCAACCTTGCAAACAGTAAAGTTACTGTTCATAATGTAAACAAACTCATCGAGCTATGTGCTCCTCTTGTGACCTGGATATATGACCTTAATCCCTTAGGACCCCTTCTTCCCCTCCACCCAAGATAGTGTATGCATATTTTACTTTGCAAAGTACTGAAAGCAACATGCTTTTCTCATTGCAAACAATAAGAGAAATTGAGTGTATGACAGTCTAGGCCTAGGGCTCAAAGGGTAAGCTTCTCTAATAAGGGTGATTCCTGACTTCTACTTTCCCATTTCATGCTGGAGATACTGTTTGAATAAACAATGAGCAAAGCACAGTTCTGAGAAGCATCTGAAGGAGCAGACATATGCTCAGCAGTTTGGGTATGTGCTTGACCTTAAAATGAATGCTAATAGTAAGGCTGTCTCTTCATTAAGTATTTACCTTAATGTGGTTTAGAAACTCTGTAGCAGGTAACTTTGTAAAGAGGTTTAGTAAGCTCACAGTTTTGGAGGTGAAAGTCCAAAGGAAGGCATGGCTTCTGAGGAGGGACCCTCCTTTTAAGATATCATGGCTAAAGCTCACTAGAGAGGGAGAGAATTTTTCACAAGACACAAAGTCATGGAGAAATATAGGGGACAGGATTACGCTTTAATACTTCACTCTTAAAAGAATCAATCATGGGACACAGGAGACTACCTTAATCTTTTCCAAAGGCATACTGACCTCTCAACAGGCTCTACCTCTTCATGATCCAATAACATTGCCAAACTGAAGACTAAGCTTCCAATACATAAAAAACCTTAGGGGACAAACCCCATCCTAACCATACTAAAACATATAAACACTTTCTGATTTAGCAGTGTACAAAACAATCTCAAAATCTAATCATTAGTTATGAATTTCTTTTATACAAAGGTAGCTAATGCTGTAACATTTTTGATGCAAAATAACAGCCTTTTCTTTCATGGTGCATAAATTCTCATTTGCGAAGGCATGAAAATGAGGACTGGAGTGACGCCGCAGCAGTTCAGAGCACGGGCTGCTCTTGCAGAGGACCTGAGTTTGGTTCCCAACACACGTGATGGCTAACAATTGTCAATAACTCCAGTTCCAGGGGAACGGACAGCCTTTTCTGTCCTCCACGGGCACTGCACGATATGGGTGCACTTACCTACATGCAGACAATACACTTAAACATAAATTAAAATAATAAAAAGACTTGAAAATGGACACTGTGCTCAATAATCCTCAGAATATGCAATCAGCATGAGTCAAAATTCAACATTTACTAAATATACCCTATGTTCACATATACTTACACTGGCAATGTAGGAAAAGTGGGGAATGTGAGAAAAATATGCACTACAAGGACACAAGCATTTATCATAATCTATTGGAAGATATAACTCCCTAGTAACAGATAAGTAGTGATCAAGTGGTAGCTGGGTGTGGCGGTGCATACCTTTAATCCCAGTACACAGGACAGAGGCAGGCAGATGTCTGAATTCAAGAGTAGCCCAGTCTATATAACTAGTACCAGTCCAGTCAGAGCTCCATAGTAAGACCCTGGCCTTTAAGAAAAAAAAAAAAAAAAAGTGACCAGAGAGATAAAGAGATAAAGACACAATAGAAAGGTAAAAGAAATCAATAAATCAATAATCAAAAATGATTTTTGAAGAAAGATGAAATAATCAGAAAGGGACAAATCAGCTGAAATGTGGCTGGACTTGGAATGACAATGAACATTCAGTTAGAGAAAGTACTAGAAAACTATATTGGATCATCCTTCCACCTGTAAGGTACCTTACTCAGCAGGTCCAATTTGAGGACATTTGGTCACGTGGATCATTTCTTTATATTTCCATATGCTATCAATCTTTTGAAGTTCTCATCATGAATCAGTCATTAATCATTTTCACACACCATGGAAATTGTTAAAATAAAAATGCTAGACAGACTGAAATAAATGGTCCCAAGTTTTGCTAAATAATAGTATTTAAAGGTAACCACCAATATATATTTGATTATCAAGATTTTTATTATAGTATATTACATCCTCTACCATATTATGGATTTTTTTTTAATCCTCAGAGTAATATCATATAAAAACCTACTTGGCCACATTACTTCTTGAGTTTCTTTTGGGCGGCTTTCTTCTTGACCATCTGTAATCGCTTCATAGCATTGAGCTGTGATTCTTGTGAAGTTGGGCCTTTAAGAGATGCTGAGGGACTGCTGCTGGATTCCGATGAGGTTTTGCTCACTGTACTTCCACTTGGCCCTGATGTACTGTTTCCATTCCCACTCAACTGGCTGCCGCTTCCTGGAACTAAACTACTAGGACTAGGAAGACCTACTTTGCTGACATTGTCACAACTAACTGAGCGGCTGAGGCCAGTCTTGCCCAAGGTTAGTGGTGGAGGTGGTTTCAATGGTATTGTGGGTGTCATGCTGTTACCCGAACCTATTTTGGAACCTATTCCACCTTTGGATGATGTTGCCAGACTAGTCAAACCCACAGGCTTCTGGTTAGCTGGTGAGGTAGCAGGTTTTCCACTACTGTTTTGTGCTGTTGAACTCAATTTTGCTGTTGAGGGACCAGCAGAGGAAGTTTTGGCTGCAAAAGCTGCCCATCCTGTTAAGCCACTAGTTACTGAAGAGGAAACATTGTTACTTGAAGAATTTCCTGAAATAACAGTGGATGTCTAGAAAAATAATAAGATAAACATTACAAGCCAAGTATAATCAATACCTATATAATATCCTTGAATATATAACAAGTTTACGTGTATAAGAAAAGCAATGACTTAGGAAATCCAAATAATACGACAAAATTAGATACATATGAAGCTAAACCAAGAACATACATAGAACGAACAGCTGACACTGGTGAGTATGCTACCACCATTGGTGCAGCAGATTTTTGAATACGGCATTGTTTTAATGACTCCAAAGAAAATAAACAAAATACTTTTTTGAGAGCTGCTGTTAGCTTTAGTTACAAGCCATAGCAGAAAATCAGATTTAGTGTTTACTTAAATTAGATTTAGTATTTTTTTAGCCCAAAATATATTATCTAGTTCATAAAAACATCCAATTCTTTAAACTTTGTTCCAAATGGCCCATGGGTTATTTCAAAATGGACTCTGATTTTAATGGACAACACTGTTTGCACCCAAGACAATCCAAGAGAAGATGACAGAGACAAAGATTCAATCAGTAATGATTTACTGTATGTAAAAGGAAACATCTATATACAAACAACTCTAAAGTCATTTAAAAATAAAAGCAAGTTGTCACCAAATTTTGAACATCTAATGCACTACAGATCATATGCAGATGTGTAGTTAACCACTCAGAAGTGTACAACTCTTAAGATATGTTAAACAGATCTGAAGATCTAGTTTTACAATGTGTGCTTCCATTGAAACTACATAACAGATCCTTTCTTCCACAGAAAAGATTATCTCCTGCATCCTGGGTTGCACGGTGCATTTTGGCTAAGTTTGACATCTGATTTTTAAGAGGGTAACATTTCAATTTCTCTAATCAACTTCTTAACTTGGCTGATCAGAAGTGTGTAGTGACACCAGTTCCACAATATTCATTGTTCTTAAGCAAAAGAGATAATTTTGTTTTCACTTTCACATTAGGCAGAAATGTACTTTGTTCAAATTAATTTTGCTTGGACCTTTGAACTGACACTCTTCTTTCATATTGGGAAGATCTTATAAAAATGTTCAAAAGTATAGTCTGGTACAGTAGTTTCCTACTTTCAAATTGGTAATATTATGCTTAGAGTATATCCAGTTCTATTTTAGAATTGAACTCTGAAATAGTTGATAAAAAATTTTTAGATTTTACAAGTTAGCCTTCAATGTTACTTGCATATAAACATTTTAAACCAATGTAAAAATAAGCGAAGAAAGGGTGCTATGAAATGTCTTTTTTGTAAGTTCAAACTTTTGTTCACATGCTCTGAAAACTGATACTTTTTAACTATTAAAATGACATTTTGACTCTTCTTTTTGTTAGTTTTAATAATAGCATTATGTAATTATCTCATGATGCTATCCCGACAAGGATTACATAAAATAAATTCCTAGAATGAAGGTAAGAGAGAAAGAACGCAAAGGACGTAAGTATAGTAAACTTCCAATTTTCAGTTTTGAAAAAATCATTTCCTTCCTATTAAACATGAAACTGCCATTATGGCTACGTGATCTTTCAACAAACTTCACCAAAGAAAACTCATTTGAAGCAATTAAAAAGACCAACACTTATGAAGGATAAACACCAACACTTATGAAGGATAAACAAGAAATCAAGTACTATGTGTCTAGCACTTTAACAATTGCTGCTTCCTGGTAGTGCTTAACAGAGTGACAGTTTACAATACAATAAGGAGTTGAGCACCACAAGTGGGAAAACAAGTCATTTCTTAATATTTCATATAAAAAGTAAAATTTTCAAACATTTTAAACTAAAAATACTTTGGTCATTATTTAAGTTAGTTATTTACTTCTTATAAATGGGAACAAAACTTTTATAGAAAAAATTTCTTCATTCTAATCATAAAAATAATTAAAACTTTTGAGACAAAAAGAATAGCCAAAATCTTAATTTATTTGCCATACAATAATTACAAATTGGATTTCCTAAAAATAAACTTCAATATTAAGTTCAATACAAAGATCTCCAAAAATAAGCACAGAGTAGAACAACTCTATTTTTAGTTAGTCATTCTTTTGATTCCAGTTAGCCAGGTTTATGTATAATAAATCAATAATTTTTGTTTTTGGATAATAATGCTTCTCAGTAAACTAAAATAAAAAGAGATCTAAAAATAGAATTATCACTATCTTCTTTAAGAGTCCTTTACAGTCATACACTTTTCATCACATCCAGATTCTTGAACTTGCTATTTATAGCACTAAGTCAAGTGCTATATAGAGTTTTCTGGAGTCAATCCTTGAGAAGTTGGGTCTAATATTTAAAAATGAAATATATAACAGTAAAAACATTTTGTTATATAATCATTAAAATATTTTATTCTATGATATTGGGATTTTATAATGCAAAATTAGAGATTAAATAATAATATAAATGTCTCTTTCTATATTATTAATAGAAGAGCAGTCTTTATTTCAGTATCAGTCACTCAATACAGAAAATTCCTATTAAAATTTTACCAAGCAACTACTGCTTAGTTAACCAGATTTAGACAAAAATGAAAGGCACTGTACCTTGACTTCCGTTCTCTTGAATGCTAGGAAGGTTGTCTCTTGTTTGAGTTTAGATTCTGGTTTCTTAACTAATGGATCCTTGACAGCGGGAGCTACTGAAACAACGGTGGGCGCTGGTTTTTGTGGCGGTTTCTGAGTTTTTTGAGCCTATGTAAATCAGCAGATAAAATCAGATATAAAAATCTTATCAACAAATAGTTTTATAAATTTCATTAGTTTTTAAACATAATACACTATTAAGCATTAGAAATCATGTAAATAAGGGTTGGTTAAATGCCATTTTAACAAAATAAACAACTATTTTCAATAAAGGACAAGTCAACAGTTGCCCTTCGGTATGCAAGACTGGTTCCAGAACATTCTGTAAATACCAAAATCTGCCAGTGTTCAAGTCCTTTATATAAAACTGGCACAACAGTTGGGAATGGTAGCACAAGATTAGGTGTTTGGGGCCAGCCTCAGTTATATAACAAGTTCAGCTTGATCTGTATGTTAAGATCTTGTCTTAAAAATTCACGAGTTGAGCAGTCAGGCATGGTGGCCCACACCTTTAATCCCAACTCTCAGGAGGTATGCTAGCTGGGGCTATAGGGAATCTCTGTCTCAAAAACAAACAAACAAACAAACAAATAAAAGTTATGGCAGAGGGCTCACAAGATGGCTCAACTGGGTAAAGGGGCTTGCCACACAAGCCTGGTCACCTGAGTTCAATCCCTGGAATCCTTGTAAATGTGGAAGAAGAGCCAATGCCATAAAGCTGTCTGTGACATCCATATTTGTGCACAGACAGACACAAATAATAAAATGCTGATTTTGAGGGTTTAAGCCATATTACTAGGGGAAAAAATATAGTATTTGTAGATAACCTGTTGATGACGTCTACAGAATGTCAGTCTAGTTCACTAAATGTAGTGCAAATGTCATGTAAAAAGTTATTTTATTGTACTGATTTGGAAATAATTGCAAGGCAATAAGCCTGTACATGTTTGGTACTGATGCAATCATACCAGCTCCTGCACCGAATATTTTCAATCTGGAGTAGGTAAACTGCATGGATACTGTGTTTTATAAACATTGTGGGGAAACCACGTATGCATCCAGTTAAACTTTATTCATCACAAGCACATTTATTTCTCATTATGGTTAACCAAAGATTTAGGTATTTTCTTCTTGGGGTTTAGGTATACATTTCTGAGTTACTGAAGATGAGATAAAAACAACTCAGATAATTTTTATGGCTTTGAATACTGAACAAAAAGGGAAAATATTATTCTTGGGTAAATAATAAACCTTTCTGAAGTTTTTCTACACTATATAACTAGTGAACTAAATCCTCATCTAAGTTCATGAATATAAATTTTTATGTTATCTAGGAAGAATTTCATCCATTCTCCCTAAGCATTTTTGGTTTTAACCAATAATTGACTTTTTTATTTTATGACAAAGCATATTACTAAGTTTTAATCATTTTTCAGATTCTTAGTGCTGCGCATATGAGTAAGTCTAATATGGGCAGCATGGAATAGTGTTTGAAAACAGATTTTTAGTAAACAGAACAAAGATTGAAACCCTGCTCATTATGTCTCCAACTGAGTTGCTATGGGTAAAATATGTGTCTAAAAGCTTCATTCTTTTTAGTATAAGATCTGGTACATGCTGGTGCTGACACTAATACTTAGTATAACCTAGCATGTACAAGGTCCTGGATTTGAGCCCAAGTACCGCAAAAGAAGAAAAAAACACCCCCCCACACCAAAATACAGCTTGCTGTCAACTTGACAAAACTTAGAGTCACCTGGGAACCTTGACTGAAAAATTTCACAGACACTGGCCTGCAGCCCTGTCTGTTAGAGAGTGCCTTGACTTTTGACTGATGTGGGAGGACCCAGACCACTGAGTGTAAGGTCACCCCTAGGCAGGTGGGTCTGAAATGTATAAGAAAGCTAGCTGAGCATGAAACAGAAAGGCAGCCAATAAGCAGTGTTCCTCCATGGCTTCTGCTTCAGTTCCTGCTTGAGCTCCTGCCTTGACTCCTTCAAAGATGGACTGTGACCTGGAAGTGGAAGCCAAATCAACCCTTTCCTCCCTTAAGCTGATTTTGGTCATAGTGTCTAGCACAGCAACAGAAAACAAACTAGAACAGTTATTATTTATTCAGCATACTTATGTGCAAAGGATAATTAAATAAAATCCACAAGAACCAATCTATACTGTATATCTAAAGATACTCTTAGCTAGCTATTACTTAGTCTTTGACAATGTTCATAAAGTCATATGCCAAGACACTTACTAATAATTTATCTCCATTTCTGAAAGCCTAAATTTGGCCTATTTTATCCCCATTTGTAGATTTATATAATCTTCCTGTCCTGTTATTTGCAATACTATAAAATTTTGGTTCTTACAGCCTCAATTATTGCCTCTTTTTACATTACAGTTTTCACATGGAGGCACATCAACCTTTAACCATCACTAATAGAGCAATATTTATGTAAAGAATATTTAATAATACTAGAAGACTATGTTTGGTAAAATACCTCTTTTATTAGCAGAAAAAGGAAACAATCTAACCCTCTACTGTACAAGCTACAAAAATATAGCTTTCACAGTAAATCAGAAATATAATGCTCCATGGGACTGGAGAGATGGCTCAGCAGTTAAAAGCAATGGTTAATCTTGCAGAGGACCTAGGTTTGATTCCCGGCACCCACACGGTGGCTAACCACATCCTTAAATCCAGTTCCAGGGGATCTAGATGCCCTCTTCTGCCCTCCATGTCCTTGGTAGTTGTTTCATAAAGGACAGCAACTACCAATATGTCAGCAACCAAAACTGTCACATATTTCTATATTGCTAAATGCTGCCAAGTAGGAATATGTTACTACATTAGATTAAGAACCACTGTAATAGTGATACGAATGCTATACTTTTGCTGGGTCCAAACATTTTAATGGATACAGAGAAATGATAAGCCTGAAGACTGAGCTTGGGCCACACCATACAGATCACAACATTCTTAACTACATTTTCCTATAATAACGTATACTGCAAAACCTGTTCCAGTCCAATAGTTGGAGGAGAAAGGTGGTACCATAGCATGAATAACTAATGAGCATATGAACACCTAATGACTAAAATTGTACCTGCACCGTTTCCAATTTTTTTTTCTCTCATTTGTTTTCAAGGGAGCCTGAAATTAGGCTCACTTAAGATAATGCCTTTTGGTATTTTCGCCCATTTACTCTTGTGTTCTAGTAACATTCTAATACTAATTATGGTATTCCTCTCAGTACTTTGAATCTTGGATACAGACTGGATTTGACTTCTGATACTAATCTGCATTTCTACTCTCTAATAATGAGAACAAGAGAATGCAGACAGTGTCCTCGACTGAGATTTGTTCTGATGCTACACCAATGTATGAGAACTGGTCTTACTGATAAATTCCACACTTAACTACAAAGCAGATAAAGAATGAATAGTATGCAAATAAAAAGGAGACACTTAGAAGAATACACAGAAGCTGTTCACTTGTTCAGGAAATTATATACTTAAGTCTGGCATGGACAAAGTACATGTATGGTGAAGCAGCAGAAAAGATGCCATCAAAGGCAGAAAGAAAGTAGAAACAAGGAGACCACATATATGCTCTAATGTGATATGTACCTCATTATATGCATCATAATTTCATTACGGAAGTAACTGAAAGCCACTGGGAACACTTAAGCTGATAAAGTAACTATTTTAGATGAATAATTCTAAATATTATAAATTATAGTGAGCAAAGTAAACTGAAAGGACAAATAGACCTTTTAAAAAGCTACTGCAAGAGACAAGTCTGGGAGATTTGTGGAACAGGGTAATAGGAATTAAATGAATAGATGTGAGAGATACGAGGTAGACAGACACAGTGAGTTTAGCGAACAATGGCACACAGAATTATTAAAGGTATCAAGAACACTGTTTGCCAGTGCAGGCAACTGTGGTAAAAATCTGAAGAAAAGAATTTTCATTTCAAGGATATTGAATTTAAAAGGACGATATCTAGTCAGTACAGAAGATCACTTACAGAAAGGATTAGAATCATGAGCATAGACTGATAAGAACTAACAAAACTAAGGGAGGAAAAAAGAGAAAACAGTGTTCAGTTTGGCTAACAAAAGAATTACACCAAAATAATAATTCAAAAATTTTGGAGATATACTAAAGGTAGAGAGCACTCTTACAAGTTATTTCTTTTGGCAATTACCATTTTTGTTTGATAATGCTCTGGAATATTCTATACAGCTCACCTGAAATAATTCTGGTTGAGGACTAATTTTTAAGAGAAAAGTAAAAAATTAGACACAGATATTTCTTGTTACAAATAAAAGAATATATACTAATAAACTTTTAATACTTTTTACAGAATAAAAACATTTCTTATTTCTGCTTTAACTGATTAAAATATAAAAGGATACCTTGGTTTTTACTTTAGTTGAGAAATTTAGACCTTAAAAAAGATATATGCAGTCAAATTTATACAGAAATTCATTTGATGAACAGACACAAAAGCTCTTTTATTAAGTGGTTTTAGTCTAAGGCAGAGAAAGGAACACTCAGGGAAGAGAGAACAAATCACTGCAATACATAGCCACTTCTTGACATCTTTGAAAGAAAACCTGTGAAATTCATTTATCTTTTTAGATTAATAAAACCAGAAAAGTCTTCAATATAACAACTTATTTATTTTTATTTTATGTGCATGTGTGGTTTGCCTGCACCCATGTTGGGTGCTGGGAATCGAACCCAGGTCCTCTGCAAGAACAGCCAGTGCTCTTAACCATTGAGCCGTCTCTCTAGCCCCCTCCACAGTGCTTTATAGTATTATAAAATTAGATAGTGTCATGGTTGCAAGAAATATTTCTATTTTGTGAGTCTTCAATCCAGTTTATCTATATATAATAGAATAAGCTAAAAACTGAACAGAGGAAGATACATGTAATATGTTCCGGTATTCAGGCATATCGACATAAATCACACATATTTGCTATACATACAAACATTTAAAAATCAGTTTACTAATTATTTTCTGTATCCTAAATGTCCTAATTTTTGAAAACACGTATCAACAAAAAAGCATCAGACACTGGTTGAATAAAAGTTTGCTTCTTACCATTCTTTTCATTTGTCTGGTGCATCGGGCACAATACCACACTAGGCGAGGGTCATTCACTTCCTTGTCTGTCACTTGTGGCTTATGGCAATCTTGGTGGTAGAGATTATGGCACTCTTGACATTCTACTAACTGATTACCAGATGCCACTGTCATTTGTCTAAGAAAAACATTCCATTAAACATTAGTTTCTTATATAATTTAAAGTCATTTCAGGGTTGTTCTAGTAAAGTTTGACATGTTAAAGGGATAGGAACATAGAAAAATACTATTTAAATCACTAATAAGAGAAATAACATTAACACACAGCCTACACTAATTAAGACCTTCATTTTTTTGAAAAGTTATGCTCAGTCAATAAATAAAATGCTTTAAGTTGCCGGGCGTGGTGGTGCATGCCTGTAGTCCCAGCACTTGGGAGGCAGAGGCAAGCAGATCTCTGTGAGTTCAAGGGCAGCCTGGTCTACATAGTGAGTTCCAGGACAGCTGGGGCTACAGGGAGACCCTGCTTCAAAAAGACAAAAAAACCCCAAAAAACAAAAACAAAACAAAACACAAACCTTTAAGTTAGTTTATATTCTCTTAGTCATGTATCATTGCAATTTTTCCCTTTTTCTCAAACAGCAGTAAAGTTTGACTAGCCCTACTAGGTTTTCCTAGTATTTCTGGTAAATTCCTTTATGTTAGGTGTTGGATAGGCATGTCCTCCAAAAGAACTAGCAACAGCTTGATGTCCAAATCCTAAGAGACTCGAAAGGAAGGGAGACAGTCACCCCTCCCACCCAATGGGGAGTCGGAGTGAGCTTTGCCATCTCGGCCAGGAGTCCGGTGGCGGTTGAGCTGATCTGCCAAGATGTAAGGGAAAAAGCCCCCGTGCATACCTTTGTTAGTAACCCCTCCCAGACCAGCATAAACTCTGTAAGGGATTCTGAATACACTGTGTCAGTTTTGTGAGGGAGAAGGTCCCAGTGAGCCTCATAGAGGGCCTGAGAGCCAGGACCATGCAGCATGGGTCCCCAGAAGTAAATTTCACTTTATATAGATAGCTACCTGTTGGTATACCTTCACATCATTGATAAGTTACCTAAGCTGGGCATAGTGGCTCACATCTGCAATTCCAGCACATAGGAGATTGAGGCAAGACAAATGCCTGGGTTTAAGGCTACATGGTGTCTTCTAGGCCAGCCTAGACTAAAGTGAGATCCTGTCTCATAAAATTTCAAAAAGAAAAAGGAAAATGGGAAAAAAAAATATGTAAAGGTGAGAGCCAAACCTATTTACAATATTGTGTACATAGGATGTTTAATAAACATCTGCTCAACAGAACAGATGCAATAGCATGTATACCAAAGAAGTATAAATTCCAATAGCACAGAAAAGCAATTACCAAAGGTTTACAGTATTCTACTAAGTATCTGACAAAGGATTATACAGTTACTAATTCTCTCCCCATTAACACTCATAATATTCATTCACAAAATGCTAACTTTCATAGCAGATTAAGGATGAAATATGCAAACATATGTGAAGACAAAGGACCTATTCAGAAGCAGAGCAACTCATTTTACATAAGTTTCACAAAGACTTATAGTTCTGTACTTAGTCCCACTGTACCAGAACTGAACATTTTTACTAAGACAGCAACAAAGATGATGATCACTTTTGTTAGGCAATGAAAGCTATTAATAATAGAATACTCATCCCTCATATGAATGTTTTCAAAATTCAGTTATTTCTAAAAAAAGTATCTTCTACTAAGTAAAACCATCTGCTTTTATAATTATACATTTAAGTTTTGAAATGTCACTCAATAACCTACAGTCCTTTCATTTCCAGTAATATTAGAAGATTTAATGTGTTTTAGGAAATGACATATGTCCATTTATTTTTTAACAGCTATCAGTAATTCAGGGGAAAAAAAGACTTCTTAAAAAGATGGGAGCTAACTGAGGGTGCTGAACGAGTTCTTTTCACCAAAGAAAAACGCACTAATCACTTTCTTCCTAGAACCCCAAAATGCAGTAAATGTTACAAACAATGTAATAGATTAAAGAAGCTTTAGACAATTTTCAAAATGTTAAAGTGCTATCTGAGCAGCTTCTAAAGTATAAATCTATTTATGTATATCTCACCCCCAATAATAAATACAGAATACAGAATGTTCAACAGATTCTTTGATTGGGGTGAGAGGTGAAAGAGGTAGAGAGGAGCGGACTGTGCTTTTTTTTAAAGAAACAAAGAATATTTGGCTTGGTGCAACTTACCTACAAACAACACAGGCCAATCCCATCTCCATGGCAAAATCATCAGCACTAGTCTCTTCAAAACTAGAAAGGTCAGCCATAGCTAAATCCTTGCTAGTCTGGACAGTAATGGGAGAGGATCGTGTTTCTGGTTTCTCCAATCTAGGTTTCTTTGGAATATCAACTCCTTCAGTGACATCTTTCATCTGTAAGAATCCCGAATGACAAATGTTCATTAAAGTAAGATGGTAGAAAAAACTCTGAATCACTGAGAAATAAGATGGACAGTGTACAATGTCCAAGTCCATTCTGCAGATATTTTTACACAATTAGGGAGAGAGATGCACCCTGAGGGGATCTGTACAAGTACAACTAATTATAAGCAGTATGTTAAAAGAAACTGCCTAGATAAAAGTAAATCAAAAGAGTGGGGTAAATATCTGCACTTCTTTTTGTATTCTACTATAAACGATTCTTGAACTTCAATGGATTTACTTACACTTTTTTCTCCTATTCAAGATGTTCTCATTTGAGAAACAATATTACTAATATGCCCATTAAAAAATACTTTATGGCTGAGATAGCTTAGTACTTGCTGTGAAAGCATGAAGGGCCATAGTTCAGATCCCTAGGGCCCACGTAAGAGCTACACAGGTGTGGCAGCTACCTGCAATCAGCACTCAGGAGGGAGAGAAAGGGGATCCTCAGGACAAGCTGGCTAACTAGACAAGCTGGAATTCGTGAGGCCTGGGTTCAGTGAGAGACTCTGCCTCAATATGTAAGTTTAAATGGACTGAGAAGGACATACAGTTTTGTTGACTTCAGGCTGCCACATGCACCCACATGTGCATGCCCACACACATGAACACGAATACACATACAAATATACACCACACATATCTATGTACAAAAAATAAAGACTTTAATTTTAAACTAGGAATATTCAGATTATATTGAAAAAGTAAATAATGAGCTATCTTCCTATGCATACTTAACACATTGCCATATTTGCTTTAAAACTAATTCTGGCAATTTTGATATTTTAAGTATGTTAGAAATAAACCTGTTGGATTCACAAAAATTAAATTCTGGTAATAGGTAAAGAATTCAGATATTTTTTTTTTAGGGGGGAGGGGTTCTTTTTGAGACAGGGTCTCCCTGTAGCCCCGGCCGGCCTGGAACATACTATGCAGACCAGGCTGGCCTTGAACTCATAGAGATCCGCCTGCGTCTGCCTCCTGAGTGCTGGGATTAAAGGCATGTGCTACCATGCCTGGCTAGAATTTAGAAATCTTAAATTTATTAAGTAATATGGATAAAAATTTGCCTATGTGTAGCAATGTTGAATATGTATGTCCACCTATAGGTGTACATCTTATAAAAATCAACATGGTCACAGAAATGTGTGAAAGTAGCTCACTGAAACTGCACTCTAATAAAGAAAAAGGAGAAATAACTAAAATGGTTACAATTAGAATAACTGGTAAACTGATTTTATTCATAGAATAGCTGTTACATGGTTGCTAAAAAACAAATCTAGACCTACATATGCATCAACACAAATTTCAAAACCACAGTTTGGTCAGCAAGATAATTCAGCAGGAAAAGGTGCTTGTCACCAAAGTCTATCCCTGGGACACACATGGTGGAAAGAAAACTGACTCCCACAAGTTGTTCTCTGGTCTCACATGCACCCATGGCACATGTACCCCACCTCCCCACAAATATATGTAATAAAAAACTTATAAAACAAAAATACTGTTGAATGAAAAAAGCCACACCAAATGACATATATATACACAGTATAACAATTGTATAAATTTAAAAGCACAAAGCAATGTAGCACTTTTATTTAGTAAAGTATAAAACATCCGGGATAATATACCCCACCCTGAGGTCGAGGGATACTGATCGTATTTTTAGTGCATTTTCTGTTACTGAAATTTTAATTACTATTTTCAGAAATTATTCAAAATACACAATCCAAGAGTTACCTGCAGCCTTTTTACAATGCTTGACCCCATGCAGCAGAGTCCATGTTTAGTCACTAACATTTTTCTTTCAGTTCTACTTCTCACGAACCACTCAAGCCAGCGCTACGGATTAGTCTGCATTACTAAAGTGCCAGGACCAAATGTTTTATGACAATGATCTCAGCAAATGGTTAAAGAAATGTTTCTAGATTTTACTAATTTTTCCAAAAATTCAACAACTACAGCTATCCAAATATGTTTACTGAGTGATCATCACCTAACTACACTCATACTACATAAAAATAGATATAAGACATACTTCCATACTATGGAACAAGTGATTTATATTTTTATAAACTAAGCTAGAATAAAATCTTACTTTATCAGCAGGTCTCTTCTCAGTTTCCTTCTTTATCTTTTCAGTTGTGAGGACTTTACCATTATTATTGCCAGAAGGAAGATTAGATGATGTTTTGGGCTCTTGTTTAATAGAAATAGATTTTGTGCTTGAAATTTTGGGTGGTTCCACATCCTAAAGGGTAAAATAAAAAAATAAGAGATGTTTATTATTATTCAGAATAGATGAGCTGGGATTATATCTCAGTACTTGCCTAGCATGTACAGGCTCTAGGTTAGATAATAAATCTGAATTTTCTATACAATGCCCGCACAGGTCAGAACAGGGTGTTGGATTCCTTGGAACTGTAGTTATGGACAGTTGTTAGCTGCCATGTGGGTGCTGGGATTTGAACTTAAGTCTTCTGCAAGAACAGTCAGTGTTCTTAACTGCTGAGCCATCTCTATAGCCCCCAATCTAAATTTAGCTGGGCGTGGTGGCGCATGCCTTTTAATCCCAGCACTCTGGAGGCAGAGGTAGGCAGATCTCTGTGAGTTCGAGGCCAGCCTGGTCTACATAGTGAGTTCCAGGACAGCTGAAGCTACAGGGAGACCCTGTCTCAAAAAGACCAAAAAAAAACCCCCAAAAAACAAAAAAACAAAAACTAAGATACTACCATATGACCAATGTAACATTCTTCTCTAAATGGTTTTTAATGAAAAATAACTGATATACAAATTTTATCTACTTGATAACTGATACACAATTTTGCACCTATTTAGTAAGTTTAATATATTATATGCCCATTAAATCACCACTGCAATCTGCGTATCTATTATCCACCCCCATTTTTTATGGTTCTTTGTAATCATTTCCTCTTAGCATATATCCTAGACAACCTTGGGTTGTGGGCATAGGTTAAGCTTTAGACTCTGATTGGACTTGAGTTAGTCATATAGTTTGATCTCCCACCTCTCAGTTTGGTATCTCTGTCCCTAGACCTGGGTGACTTGGAGTTTCAGGACTCAAGCATTAGAAGACTTTGAAAGACTGTCTGAATAAGGATTCGGGCGTATAACAAGAACTGTCATTTGTGGAGAGCTGGTTATGTATCAGATGGACACTATTCTAGTTGATTTATTTACTTTGTTGCAATTTCTACAGCTCTGCAAGGTAGTGCTTATTCTTCCTATTTTTTCAATAAAAACTGAAGTTACTATGTAACTCTGTTTCCTTATAGTAAAGTAAGAAAAATAAGCAAATTAATTTCAAGGGATCATTATCACAATTAAAAGTCATTGTTCCTACATACCACTCAAAAAAGATCTAGGCACAGGATACTTTCAAGATATGTTATCCAAGACCATCAGACAACTATGAAGGGTAAGCAAGAATTTCTAAAAGGCTTTCCTGGTCCTAAAATTTATTGTCCCCCCACCCCATACAATTATTCACTACTTTGTTATCAATATTGGAGTTACATAATTTTGACTTCTATATCCTTTTCCCTTAAATTATTCTATTCCATAGTCTTATTTTTGAAAAAATATTTTTTTCCTTATTTTTTTTTTAATCCTTAAAATAGGGAGTCATGCCAACTCAATCAAGATAAAGGCCCAGAGTGGAGTAAGGGAAATGGGTGGCAGGTTGGCCCTAGTCTGGGAACTATTGGAGACTGATTACTACTGGATGAGGGAGAGTAAGCCTTACCAATGATGTGTAGATAGGCAGACAAGAACTCCAGTGGAGGAATTTGCACCAAAGGACATCTGGGTAATGCTTGGCTGGATAGGACTTAACATGTATGGCTAAATAGGACTTAACATGTGTGGCTGAAAACATGAGGTCCAGTTTGGGGGGGGGCATGGATGGGAGGACTAAAATTGATTAAGAACTGTTGTATGAAATGTACAAAAGCTCAATAAAAAAATTAAAAAACAAAAAAAACCCCAAACCATTAGGGGTCATTAGAAATAAGTTTGGCAACATTCAGCAGCTTAAAAAAGTCTGACCATAGGGGCTGGAGAGAAGGTGCAGCAGGTAAGAGCACTGGTTGCTCTTGCAGAGAACCTGAGTTTGATTCCCAACATCCACATGGCGGCTACCAACCATTCATAACTCCAGTTCCAGGGGAATTCAATGCTCTCTTCTGACCTCCAGGGGATTGTATGACATGGGTGCACTTATATACATGCAGACAATACACCCATACACATTAAAAAAAGTTTTGACAATAAAGAATTAGAAATTAAATTGCAAACAAGTGGAGCAGTATATCCTTTAGACCAAACAAACATTTCTGGGTGGTCCTTTTGAAAGATTGAGGGAAGAGAAGAAAATTACAGAATATAAATTTTGTGATGGAAGGAAAGATTATTTGGGTAGACCTGGTCTGAGATGGTCTAAATGCTATCACTGTAATACTACAAGCATCCCAAAACCCTTCCCATACATTTTATTCATGTAGGTACCTTTTGAGTTGGACGGTAACTTGAATCAATGCCCCGGGCCAAAGACTCATCAAGCAGTGCTTTTAGCTTTTCAGCAGAATCTTTACTCTTTGAATGTAAGAAACCTAGTGCTTTCAGAAAAATAGGATCAAGTTCCAAGTTCACAGTGGCAGCCATTGCAAACACCTGAAGGAAAAAAAGAGGAATAGCTTAGAGAAAATGCATAATTATATATGCCCATCTTTTTATCCATTTTGTTTTCTTGTTTGTAATATTTTAAAACATCCGAAAGGTTACTACAAATACACGTAATGCTGGCATTATCTAGTTCCTCCCCCAGCCCCAAGCTCTGGGGCAACCTGCTGTTACTAGTTTTCAGAAAATCCATACCTACATCACAATTTCCTTTTTCTTTTCTTTTTTGAGCCAGTGCCCCCCACACACCATATGCCCAGGCTAGCTTACCTCCAACTTGTGATTCCCCAGCCTCTACCTCCCCAGTGCTAAGTTTGGAAGTGTATGCAACCATAACTGTCACTGGCATAATGCCCGAGTTTTAAATACAGACAAAAATGTTCCAATCACAGAGCTCCTTCCTAGCTCTTTCTAACAATAAACATGGGTATGTAACTTTCGGTATACAGACACTTGACTGTGTTTAGGCCAAGTTTACTGCATATCAAAATATCTCTTCTCAAATCTTATTTCCACCACAAAAACAGAGATTAAGTGTGCATGTGTGTGGGAGTGACAGGGTAGGATCCCAGGAAGACAATGCCTAAGGAGCCCATTATAGAGGTCACTACTGCAGCTTTTACAACTTTTTTTTTGGCTTCCTTAGTCCTCTGCTTCAATATTTAACACCTCAGAAATCACACTAGTGATAATCTTATTAGACCACATTCAGACTATGGTATCTCCTACATGTCCCTATTTTTCAAAAGCAAGGTCTCTGAAAAATGACTATATATCAACTGTATAGATTCCTCGGGGCTTATGTTTGCTGTCCTAAGGAGCTTAAACCATAGGAAACATAGTTGAAGCCATACATCAAAGGTTTATGAAATTCTAAAATATTAGAAAGTTTTGTTTTCAGTTAATATCAATGCTATCAGGTGGTTTTTATTTCTGGCTGTCACTTTTCCAAATAACTCTCCAGGCAAGGAATTACTAAAATAAAAATGTACTCTTTGTGTTCAATCCTTTGATCAATATACTAAGGTTTTAAATCTTTTTCTATCCTTGAGTTTAGTATTATAATAACGCAGCAATCTTACAAGGCTACAGTTAAGGATCTGTCAGCAATTCCACAGTAATCTCCCATTTTCAGGGGCTTATAATACCATTAAGACTTGCTGTAGGCTGAAAACAGATTTTATTCATTTCTTCTCCTTCTCCTTTCTTCTCCGTTCTCTGCCAAGATGACAGGACACATACACACCTACACCCCTAAGCTCTTCTTAGGTTCTCAAGAAGGCAGCTATTTGGCAACCAAAAATTATTGCTAATTCTGTGGTCTACAAAACACTTGAATTACCTATGCAAAGGAGTCTAAAGGCTAATACTAGAATAAAAAAGTAACTATATATGAAATAGTTATATTAGTAAGAATTTAACAAACTGCAGTAGGCTCTATTGCTGCTTTAAATTGTATTACATAAATTATCTTTACAAAATGATAGGTTCTAGAAGATTTTAAAATGTACTCGTGATGCTGAGAATCATATATATTAATACTGAGGAAAATGTTTCTCTACATAGTTTCCATGATAAAGGTGGTAAACCTGCTGTTCCAGAATCTGCCAGACAAACAGTCTAATCTTCCTATTAATTTAATTTTATGTAGCTAAGGTTTATTTATCCCAGAGCAGTCTATTTTACAGGTTACTGAGCAAAGAGCTAATATCTAGACAAATCCTTATACCATACCAGAAGCATTACTTTACATTTCTATCCTGAAAAATGGAAGCAAAGTATTGTTACATATTTCTGTAATCACAAATGAAATGTCTAGGTATAAATTAGGTGATCTAGAGAATAAAACTATAGAAATTGTCAACAGCAATACTCTAACAGAGTCAGTTCTTTTCATAAAAGACAACATGCTTTGTACCCCTGCCCTACATAACTGACATGCTCTTCAAGCCCAGTAGCACACATAGAATACATAAATATTAAAATTTCTGCATTTTGATTAAAATAATCTATTAACATATGGAGAACAGTGTGTAAACTATGGGTATGTAAGTGTGTCTAACTGTGCTAAATTTTTAAACTCATGGAAGAAATGTTTGGAAACTTTGGAAGTCTAGCAACTTCCAATTTCCCTTTTCTTCATCATCCATCACAGCTGCTGCTTTAAGGCACCAACAACCATCTTGCAAATCCCTCCCCACATTTCCATCTGGAAATTAACTTCACTGCCAGCTCTTCTCATTAGTAACACATTCCTCGTATTTTTCACTTTTCCCTGTCTTCTCTTTATTCTCACCAGTGACATCAGCTACTTCACAACCTCCTATGAGGCGGTTCCTTTGACTTGTTCCAGCTGAAAGGCTGTAAACATTACAGAGTGCCTCTTCTTTACTGCTGTTCTTGAAAATATATTCTGCGACCACCATTTATCATCTTCACTGCATCCTCACCGTCACTATGTACAGAACACCTGTAGCAGGCTCATCTTCCTCTCTCTGCCGTCACTTTTCGTTTCATTTATTATGATCTTCTATAGCTTCCTACACACTATATCTTTAACCACAAGAGCTTCATCTTCATCAGTAAAATGAAATTTGCTACTGTTCTTCCCTTGTACAATTAACACTCTTGACTACAGGTTTCCATCTCTCGGTCTCCTACCATCTTCAAAACCTTCTTTGGGGCACCAAGTCAATCTTCTTGGCTTTTTCCCCTTCCTTTCTTTATCCCATTCTGGTTGTTCTATGAATTTACAGTGGCCTCCATTTTATGTCACCTCATCGGCACCTTCCTGTTTCTGCTCCTCTCCCAACCAAATAGGAAAGCATAAAATAAAAGTTGTCTTTTAATTTTAGTTTCCTATCTTCCTATTCCCTCGTTGTCTACTTCCCTCTGTTCTCTATTCTCTCTTACTGACAAATATACAGAAAGAAATATGGTTCTTTCTCCTGAACTCAAAGAGATCAGCAACTATGGTGTAATTTGTCCATGTACTTTTTTATTAGTTCAAGAAATATTTTCCTAGAGGTTCACCAAATCATACTGTTTTTATACGATTATTTCCCAGTATATTTCAAAACCTATGGTCAAATAAGGCTGTAAAAGAGTCACAGCATTTTTTTAATATAAAGTTCTAAATATGTGTGCATGTAAATAAATAACAGGAAAATATATTATCATTTTGAAACTGCCAATAATGAGCTGGAGAGATGGCTCAGTGGTCCTCTTGCAAAGGACCTGGGTTCAGGTCCCAGCACCCATGTGGCAGGTAACAACAATTAGTAACTCCAGTTCCAGGGGATCTAATACCCTTTTCTGGGTTCCATGCGTTTGCATGCACATGGTACATTTACATACATGCAGGTAAAACACTCATAAAATAAAAATGAATTTTTAAAAAAACTTTTAAAAACAGGGGCTGGAAGGATGGCTCCATAGTTAGTGCACTGGCTGCTCTTGCAGAGAGTCTGGGTTTGGTTTCCAGCATTCACATGGCAGCTAGCAACCACTGTGACACCAGTTCCAGGGGCTCCAACACCCTCTTCTGACCTTTGCAGGAATTTCATGACATGGGTGCATTTACATACATGCAGGCAATTCACTCATACACATAAAATAAATATTTTTAAAGCAAAACAGTAACAATGAAAAACTGCCAATGACCTAGCAAAACGTTAGTGGTGGTGTTGGTGGAAGTGAATGCTTGCATCACAATAGGAATTCTCCACAGCAAATGATCTTTTCCCTCCAGCTCTTTGCTCTGTTTTAAGGCAGCAAGCTCTCTCCTTCCTGTCCAGCTTCCAGTATGGCCTTTCAATGACTCTCTTCCAGGACTCTAAGCATCTTTTCCCATTGCCATGACTTCATCTGCTTTGTAGACATCCATTCATCTGGCATCTTCTCCTTGTCTACTGCCAAACTAAATCAGCTGAGAGAAATGCCATGCTCTGCATCATCTGTCAGCAGTCTCCTTTTGGCACTCATGTCACTGAGCAATCCCATCATGCTCATCTGGTCAAACGCTTCCTCCATTTCTGTAAACAATAATCATATTCTTCAAAACTGCCCTGCATTTATCCTTTCTTTCCTTTCACTTGATAATGTCACTTGGACTTGGATCCTATCTCTTCCTGTGTCCTCTGGAACACTGAAATGTCTTACAATCCCTTCTTCCCACTAGCACCTTTTCACTGATATTTATGCCCTTCTTCTCCTGTTCTCTCTTACAGCTAAATTTTCTTAGACTATCACCTACTTTGTGTCCTTTTTTATTCACTCCTTCTCCTTAATGCTTCAATTTGGACAAGATGGCCTTTGTAATTCTAAGAAAATACTCTTACCATTAGTCATACAGCAATCTAATAAATAACTACTTTTCCATCTGCTTCTTTCTCAGTTCTTTATATGCCCCTCCTACAAAATTAAGATCTTTATGGCTGGGGATAAATCTCTTGGCTTCCATTTCCTGACCTACAGAAGATACCAAACAACACAAAAAACCATGGGCCCAGCCCACACGTCCATATTAAACCATCCGAGCAATCCCAATTCACTCTGCAGTTTGAGGACTGCTGCCCTGAATAATTTGTTTTTTTATCAGGGATCATCAAGTTCTCTTTGAAGCCTATGCCTTTACCCCAGAGTTTGTGTTGGCAATCTCATTGAGTCATCCTTGTGAACAGGGGAGCCTCTTGTACCCTTTTTCTCCTAACCAGCTCCAAATCCAAAATCCAAATCCAGTTTTCCTTCAAATGTTCCCTTTCTCTATGACTACTCTCACTTTGTTGGAACCACATGCCTTTTCTTAAGTACAAGTAAATAAATGCACTTTGTGTTTTATAGACCTTTCTCTTTGGAGTTCTGCTACATTCAACGTTTTTCTGGTTCTCCTCTTCTTGCTGATTATTCTTTCCCTGACTCATCTCTGCCCTGTCGCTCTTCCTATTGCCCCAACTATCTCTCCTGGGCTGTCTGCTTTAGTTATGTCACCAATGTGTTCTCTTGTAATCACACACGTTTGTTCTCAACTACCATCTCTAGACACACAATTCCTTATGGTTTACTCCAACGCTCTTAAGCTCGAGTCTCATGTTTTGCCTATTTCTTTGTTACTCTCTTAAGTACCAAAATACTGGCTTCACTAGTACTGGGTTAAGTGATTAAAGCAAGGTATAATGTTCTTGCCTTTCCCTGTACAAATTCTAGTCATTTTCCATGTCATTTCTGCAAAAGGTATTACAAGCCTCTTCCCCCTCAACAAAACCAAAACTTAAAATGCTGAACAACAACCACCACCTATTTTATGGGTGGGAACTTGTGCAGTGTTCTTATCTGAAAGGTTTACTAAAATCCTTTCACCTGTCTTTATTCATTGAATCTACTAGGTTTTCGTGAAAATGTCACCTTTCAGGGCTTCTGGGGTATCTTCAAGGGAAATTAAGCATTCCGATATAAATGCATCATTTCTCTTTCATTTTTCACCCTGACCACCAATCTAAAACCAGGTTAAAAGTTGAGCACCTACATGCGCCTGAGATGAAGGCAACTGACCATCCATTCAGAATGCAACACTAGGGCTACCACCTCACCACGACTCCGGAAAACCTGTTGTGTCTTCTGCGAGCTTCTGTGAATCCTATCCAGAAAGCATCCTTTTAAAGATGCTGCCCTTTTCCTTTTTCCATTGAGTACGGGGCCCTACGGGAAGTCCGGCGACACAGAACAGAAAATGGAAGCCCCAATTCCAAAACAAACCAAGCGCTAGAGAAGCTGACGAGAAACAGGGGACACCTAGGGTGTGAATCTTAGAGGAAGAACACAGTGAAGAGGGAAGACTCCTAGACCAGCGAGACCAGAACGCAAGGCCCGAGCTATACAGAGGTGGCGGGAACCCTCGGACAACGGGCTGAGAGAGTTCCCGGGACCGAGTGCCCCTGCCGCAGTCCCGGTCCGCGTGCACCTCATGGGAGGCAGAGTCCTCTCGGAGAAACGGCAGCGATCAGGACCGCGCACGCAACAGCCCGTAGATTGTGAGGCTCACCCAGGAGCGTAGAGCTCCACTTCCGTCCGCCTCTCTAGGGATCCCGAACCGCCGGAGCAGAGACCCCGCCACCACTCACCGCTCCGCCCCACCCAGCCGCTCTGGCCGCTCCAGCAGGCGCCCTTCGAACCGGTCCCCGCACTAGTCTGCATCCATATATCGAACACAAAGGTTCCCACAACAGGTCTGGGGGGAACGTTTCCCAGTGCGATAGGAGGAAGTGACGGAACCCTCCCCTTCCGGTTCGCCAGGTTATGAATGACGGCGGGCGGGGGTTTTCCGGAGTCGGTGTCTGCGCGAGTTTTCTCTTGTAGCTTTGCGCGAGGCGGGAGCTCGAAGGCCGTGGCTTCCAGAAGTCGCCTCGGAATCCCGGCTCGGGCTGGCGGGAAGGCGCTGCGGCCCGCACGCCCGCACCTGGCCGCGCCCTCCCTGCCTGGCCGCGCCCCTGCGACCAGGTAAAGAGGGCGCTCGGGCCGCGGGGCTGCTTGGGGCTCGGGGGACCCGCTCTGCCTCGGGGCCAGCCGGGCGAGCTGGGGGCGGAGGTGGGGCCTCTCGGCATCCGCGTCCTCGGTCTTTCCCCCCCGCGCGCGGTTGGAGCGTGGCGGGGTCTGTGGTGGTTGCTGCAGGTGCAGGGAAAAGACCTTGGAACACGCTCTAGCTTTTTTTCCTGACTCTTAGTTCTCTGTTGCAGCCCTTCCAGATTGGATGCTGCGTGTGAATGCAGTTTTACAGTTACTCCAAAGAACTGGCTGCATTGGGGGACATTTGCTTATGTTAGCCCAGCAAAGTGATGTTTCTCGTCGGTTATTTCAGCAGAAAATTTGAGATTACCTTGCATGCAGATTGCTTAGTTTTTTTAAAAAACCAAACTTTACAGGCCCAAACTTTGTCTGATTTGGGAATTACCCTCCCTCCAGTTCCTTGTTATAAACTCTTTTAAGGTCAGAAAAGAGATCATGGATCTTGTACTAAATTTTTGATAAAGAATGTGGCATTTGACTAGTTTTTTTTTTATAGCAATAGAAAGGCTATTTAAAGGAAAAAATTTAAAAAGAAGGAACTAGTAATGTGACAATTTGAAACATTTAAGTATGAAAATAAACTTTCAATGCAACAACTGAGTGATTTGCTGTCATGGTTAATAAAGTACATTTTTATGGCTTCCTTGTGGGAAAATTCACCACTATAGTGATTGCCTTAAATATTTTAATTGAAATTGTGTTTCAGTTATTCCTGAAGGCATCCTTTTAAGAGGCTTAACTTAAAAGATAGGGGTTTTAATGTTTTATAAATTGTTAAAACAAAACAAAAAACCACCTCTACATGTTTACCTACTTTAAACAAAACTCCAAGGAGTTTTTGTGGTAGTGGGCCTACCCAGTTTTGTTTTAAACCTGTTATACAGTTCAGGTTTTTTTTTTTAGCAACACATGGTCTAAAATAATCATAAACACTTATTAGCCAGTTGGTTTTTCTAATAACAGTAATTTAGCAGACCGGTAAAGAACTAGGACTAGCCAGGTGACGTGTAGTATGCAGTTACCTGGTGTAGTTTTTAATCCTTAAATTCAAAGTAACTTTCTAAATTCTTGGGATACAGAGTTTAAACCATTTGTATCATAAGATAAATTATTGTTGAGAGAATTCACTTTTTTTTTCAGGCTTGTTAATAGTTCTGACATGTTCACATTTCATACTGTGGATCCCTGTTAACTATGAGATTAGATTTAGTGGCAAGCATGGCTCCATAGCAACAGACAGTTCCTTGAATCTCCAGAGAGATGATTTATTTCTTTTACAACAAAGGTTTCAGGAAGCATTTTCACTTTCAAGCTTTTCTTTAAAATAAAACAAAAACTTCTTGCCCACATAAGAAAATGCTAATTTCAGTCATAGGCTAGTTTCCTTTAGAACTGTATCCTATATTACATGATGTAATGAACTCTGAAAATATTTCTTTGCTTGACTTTTAATAAAAGGTAACTGTTTATCCATAAGGAAACAGTTTACTTAAAATCTATACTATAACAAAAATAAAAAATAACGTGATTTGTAACCAAATAATGCTGTTTTGTGGGAAGTCTAAAATGTGAACTAAGTTCTGATATTCAAAATATTGAATGTATATTGACTATAAGAGAATTTAAACAGGTTGATCAACATTTGAGAGAAATTTGTAATTTTTCATTATAAACTATGTCAAACTTTTGTTTAATATAGTCTGTTAATATGTATATGGACTTAAACATTTCACATTTATATCCTACCATTGTGACTCCCTGGCTTTTAACCTCAGTATCAATTTTTTCAACGTTGGGAGAAAAACACCTTTCAGTTTAACATAATCCCACACTTTTCCTGGGAAGAAACTTGGAAATATAAAGTACAAGTTGGATTTTCCCCATCAAAGTTTATGAATTTATTTTTTAATGTGTATGAGTAAACTGCTTGCATGTATGTAAGTGCACTCATGCCATGCAGTGCTCAGGGAGGTCAGAAGAAGGCATTAAATCCCCTGGAATTGGAGTTATGGACAGTAATGGATGCTGGGAATCAAATCGAGGTCCTCTTAACTACTGAGCTATTTCTCTGGCCCCAAAGTTTGTGAATTTTAATAGTATCACCAGATAAAATAATTTGGGGATAAAGTATGAATGAAAGGAGCTGTAACTTAGAGACATTGGGCTTACATAGGATGTGTGAGGACGTAGGTTTGATCCCTAGCACTGCTAGCATTTACTTGGGGCCTTACTGTGTAGCCATCACTGTTCATCACCATAGCACACCATATGGTAGGCTCTGCTACTACTGTTCTCATTGATAATAGAAAACTAGGGCAAATCAGGACCAGGGTTTAAACCTCGTGTGCTTGTTTAAGTGTCTGGGCTTTTATAGTGATCATCGACACTCTCATTTGTATGGTCATCTTTATTCAGCCATAACTAGGATTTGAGTATTATCATTCATTCAAGATGTCCCATGATACATGGTAACAAAGAAGAAGAGTGATGGAACTGCTTTTTCAATTCGTGTGGTCAAGACGGGCATCTCAAGATGGATGTAGAGAAATCAGCGAATGGAAAGGGCCCAAATGAGCAGCCAAACACATTCTGAGTAGTTTGAGAATCTTTAAGGAAAGCAATGAGAAGTATGGCTGGGAGAGAACAAGACGGGTGGGGTTCGGGGGGGTAGATGAGGTCAGAAAGTAGACATATCCCTGATTATAGTGGATTCATCCTGATAACATCTGGATTGTATTCTGTTTGTGCTGAGGGACCCTTGGTAGTCTTGTGCAGGAGACATGATCTGATTTCTATTTTTAAAGGACTGTTATGGAGAATGGAGGAAAACTACCAATATGCAGTTGTAACAGTCCTTATCAGAACTGATGACCTAGATTAAGATTGTATAAGAGAAGCTAAGGAATTAGATTTAGCATCTTGTTTCAAAGGAGGAAAGAGCAGGTTGCAAGAGGCAAAGGAGTTGAGTGGGATTTAGACTTTGAGGTGGGTGAATCTTGTTGTTTGACCAACAATGGGACCATTAAAGGAAGAGAACAAGTTTAGAAAAATATTCTAGTGCAGATGTCAAGTTGGATATAGGAATCTGGAGCTCAAGCAAGATATGGCTGAGATAAATGTCAGAGTCAGGTAACATTCAAAGCCATGGCACTACAGATCACTTAAAATGTTGTTCAGGTGTGAGTTGTATCCTGTCAGGTCATGAAATCAATAACAACCATCATTTAAGTAAAACAGTAGAAAATATCAGATGTATTCCATGTAATAGGATAAATATTCCATCGTGACTTTTTTTTTCCAGGCTTTATTGTTTATTCTGACACTGAAAATTATGTATCGTAGCCACTGCTGTACCACTGAGCGACATCTTAGCCCTTTTTGATTTTGAAACAGGGCTTTCATAAATTGCCCAGGGTCACCTTGAATTTCACTGTGTAGCTCAAGCTGGCCTCAAACTTGTGATCCTTCTGTATAAACTGATATTTGAGTACTGAGCCACTGGGAGGTCTGAGGAGTAGCCAGTAAATGGAATCAGAAAGGCACTGCCAAAGAATTTTATCCAGGGTTAAAAATTGTCAAATATGAGCTGGGCATTGCATGCTTTTAGTCCCAACACTCAGGAGGCAGAGGCAGGTGGATCTCTGTGAGGTGGAGGCTAGTCTGGTCTACATAGAGAGTTCCAGACCGGCTAGGGCTACAGGGAGACCCTGTCTCAAAAAAAGAAAAAAAAAAATATTGTCAAATATGAAATAGAGAGATGGCTCACCAGTTAACATTGGCTGCTCTTTCAGAGGCCCCAGCTTCAGTTCCCAGCACCCACATGATGACTAATAACTGTCTGTAAGGGCAGTTCCAGGGGATCCAATGCCTTCTTCTGACCTCCACAGGCACTGCATGACATGGGTGACATGGGTGACATTTACATACGTTCAAGCTAACACACATAAAGTAAAAATAAATACCTTTTTAACATTCTGAAAAAAGAATTCCCAAAAAACTCAATCTTTGTAATAGAGATTTTTAATAAGAATTATGAGGCTGGCACCCTTGCTGGTCATATTTTAGTAATGTAATTTCTGATGGTTTTCACTTGGTTAGATTGTTGCTACAATAAAATATGTTTTACTCTATCCTATAATCTCAGAATACTAACACTGTCTAAAATTTTGAGTTTTTTGAGACAGTATCTCATGTAATCCAGGCTGGCCTCAAACTGGCTATGTAGTCTAGGAAGACACTGTATTGATCTTCCTGCCCCTACTTCCTAAAGTGCAAAATAGTAGAAAAATACCTATTCCTGAGTTTTCAAAACAGATCCTTTTAAATTTAATCATTTATTTTAATGGGAAAAAAAAGCACTGAATACTATTTCATAAGATACTTTTTGGTCTCTGTGTTACAGACTATAATTTATTTGTAATAAATACTGAATTGCCAAAGATCTCCACTTGAATTGTTGTTGTTGTGTTTTTTTGTTTTGTTTTGTTTTGTTTGTTTGTTTGTTTGAAACAGGGTCTTCCTGTGGCCCCAGCTGACCTGGAATTGCTACGTAGACCAGGCTGGTTGAAATCTCACAGAGATTTGTCTCCCAAGTGCTGGGATTAAAGGTGTGCACCACCTCACCTAGCTTGGCTTTGATTTTGACCATAAAACATTCAAACTGCATTTTTTTGTTCTCATTGGTAGAACTGTGTTTATTTTCAATGTGTTCTCTCTATAGATAGATAGTTATAGATAGATAGATAGATAGATAGATAGATAGATAGATAGATGATAGATGATGGATGGATGGATGGATGGATTGATGGATGGATGGATATATTCACATAAACATGCATGGGGTAAAGTATTAAAAGGCTTTAGATTAAAAACAAATTGGTTCCCATTTCCTATGTGAAATATCAAAGTCAAGATATTAGAATGTGAATAAAAAAAGTCTAAATCTACATAGTACACCTGTGATTTAACAGTCATTTAAATATACGCTTGAAGAATCCTAAGTAATGAAACTAAAGCTTTAATATTTTCTTTTTACATATTCTTCCTGCAAGATTCCCAAACATGTTGACACACCTAGGGGGATACACATTCTATTCATTGTGTTCAACTCCTGAAGTTCTATGAGTTTTGCCTGCTGCATTTTTGTTTCTTCTCAGTGAGCAGTATGGCTCCTGCTAAAACAGGGAAAGACCAAATGACTGCTTGTGCTTGGCAGAATGTAATGTGGGGCAACATGAGGTGTGCCCAGAGAACCTGGAGAGTCTATTGTGTCTTCCTTCTTAAAGCTCATTATATAAAATGAACTAGAGAATTGTCAAAGTAGAAAAAGAAGAGGGAAAAGAGGATTTTTTTTTTTGTCGATGATATTTATACATTTTCTCCAGGGACTAGCTCCCTGAGAGGTTATCTAATCCCAGATGGACAGCCCTAAAGACAGGTGCGCATGATCACCACTTAATGGACTCAGTGCATTAAACACACACACACACACACACACACACACACACACATACATATGTATGTGTATGTAACAATAATCAAGGAAGAGGACAAGAAATTGAGTGAAGGTGACTTGGACGGAGTTGGAGGGAGACTGGGAGGGATGGAGATAATGCAAAGACAATGCTCATGTATGAAATTCTCAAAAATGAAAAAAAAGGAGACAGGATTTCTTTTGTATGATATTTATAAACTTTGAGCAAAATCTATGTTCTGCTCTTAAAAAAATTAAAGATCTAGTCCAAGCTGAAACTCCAACCAGATTTGTACATGTTTACTAAATGTTTAATATTTATATTAAAAATTACATTAGTAAGTAATTGGGGAGAAATTGCCAGGGAAGAATAAGTAGTAATTTTAAAACTCCACAATCTTTAAGCAACATTTTTTTTTATCTCCAAGGGAAAAATACTAGCATCTATATTGGGAAAAAAAATTAAGAAATCAACAGTTCTTTACATTTTTTTTTCTTGGGCCCCTCATTAATTTTCAGATTTTACCATGGGCAGATATTTCTATTCTGTTTTGACATTTAACATTTATTAAGTACAACAAGAAAAGTTTATAGCTAATGTGTAAAACCTTATGTTCGTGGTTAAGTGCCCCCCCCACACACACACTCTATAAAATAGTATGGCATTGTTTTCAGGTTTTCTGAAAGTAGTATTAGCAGGGCTTGTGTCATAATTACTGCTACTAGACTAATAAGCAGTTGAGGCTTTCAGTTCTTTCCAATTTACCTTTTTTTTTTTTCTTTTTGTGTATGAGTGTAATGCCTGCATGTAGGTAGGTACACCTGAGTTACAGATGGTTGTCAGCTGCCATGTGGGTGCTGGGAATCGAACCCAGGTCCTCTGCAAGAGCAGTTAGTGTTCTTAACCACTGAGCCATCTCTCCCACCCCTCCAGTTTACCTTCTTGAAGCACTTAGATATTTGAATCTCACTGTCAACAAAGAATCAAGAGAATTAGTAAATTAATGAGCAGTAGGTTTATTGGGTCAAAAATTAAAGATGCTCCCAATTCCTAGGAACTGGTTGCTTGTTAATTTTAATATTTTGTTTTCTAAATCGGCTCTTGGTCCTAAACAAAAACTAAAAAGGTAAGCAAGTTCAGGGAGAAAATGATTTCTATGGGTTAAAAAGTCATTGCTTTTAAATTACATAAAATAATTTTCTCTCAGATGATCCCTTTGAAAAATAAGCATGGTGTAGCTCTACTGTCTTTTAGTAAAAGAAATATGTTATTTGTGTATTCAAGAAGAAATGTTCTCAAATGGTATTTTCCAAACTATATTCCTCTATGATAATGGAGTATAAGGTCTTAAATTAAAAGAAAATTTAGTTGAGAACCAAGAAGCTTAAACCGTGATGACTGTTGGCTTTTAATTAAAACAGTAATATCCAGGGGCTGGCGAGATGGCTCAGTGGTTGAGAACATTGGCTATTCTTGCAGAAGACCTAGGTTCAAATCCTAGCACCCACATGGCAGCCAGCAACTGTCCATAACTCCAGTTCCAGGGGATCCAACAGTCTTTTCTGTCTTCCGCAGGCATTACATGGCATGGGTTCACTTACCTACTTGCAGGCAATACATGCATACACATAAAAAATTTTTTAAAAAAAGATTTAGAATATTGAAAGACCTTTACTATGCTGAAATTTTATCAAAAGCAAGGGTACACCAGCATTTCAAAAGTGTTTAAAGACAAATTTTCATGTGTACTTTTGAAATAATATATGCACACATATGTACATATATATGAATTTTTCCACCTCCACTATATACCCTCTTCCTGTTACATGCTTCTGAATGATTTTAAAGAGTGCCATCTAGTGTCAGTTTTTGAATTGTGGTTTATAGATTAGAATGTGGGAACTTCTAGACCAGGAACTCAAAAGTGAAAAGTCATAATTGAAAAAAGCCTTAAGAAAATAATTTGACACCAAGATAGCCTGTATGCATGTTTACAATGACCCATGTGTGTACTCATCCATATATTCATTCAACAGATACTTTTTTTTACATATAAATATTTAATAGGCCCTATTTTAGGTCTAGCAGTTAACAAAATACCCTCACAGAATATTCTGGTAGTTGCTGGTGATGAATAACATAGTAAATAAGTAGTGCCTTGTAGTAGTGTTAAGTGCTGTGGAGAAAAATACAGCAGAGAAGAAAAACGATTTCCACGAAAGGTGTTAATTGGGTGTGCAATATAAAAAGTAGCCAAAGAAGGTCTCATAAGAAGCGACCTGTAAGTAAAGGCCTGGTGGCAGTGAGGGAAACACCCGCAAAGATCTTGAAGTTAGAATGTAGCTAGAGTTCTAGGAATAGCAGTTCATTTTCAGGGAACCAATGATCAGTGAGGAAAGTTGAGGTGACTCAAGGGACAGAAAATGATTACATAAAGATCTTTGTAGGATCTAGTCATGGTGGCACATGCCTTAGATCCCAGCACTCCAGAGATAGAGGCAGGCCTGGTCTACATGGGGTTCCGACCCGCGGGGGGGCCCGGGAGAAACCCGTCCCAAAAAAAAAAAAAAAAAAAAAAAAAAAAAAAAAGTTGTTTTTGAGGGACAGTGTAGAGGTGTTGGTTGTTCTTTGAGTATGATGGGAAGATACTATAGGATTTGAGCTGAGGGGCGGCACTTTATTTTTAACAATCACTTTGTCTGTTATGGAGAATAGATTAGGTGGTGGGGTTGGGAAGTGAGATGGAAATCTGTATTAGAAGTAGCCGTGACTCATAAGCAATGGAAATGTGAAATAGATTTTGGATTTTGAAGATATATCCAAAACAGATTGGTTATTGGGGCATTTGTACAGAGTACTTAAAAGTGCTTTTTATTACAAAGCACTATAAGATATGTTCACAAAGCACTCAGATATGTTCATCCTAAAACCATAACTACAGAGTAGAGGAAACTTTTCCTTCAGAAATTTATTCAGCCATGAAGGACAAATTCTTACAGCTTTGTTCCAAATTCTTACTGATTTCTAGAACATTTTTTTAATGTTTTATTTTTTATTTTACGTGTATGAGTGTGTTGCCTGCATGTCTATAAGTGTACCGGTGTTGAGCAGTGCCCACATAGGTCAGAAGTGGGTGTCGGATCCCCTGGAACTGAAGTTAGGACTATTGTTAGTCTCTATGTGGGTGCTGGGAATTGAACCCAGGTCCTCTGCAAGAGCGACAGGTGCTCTTAACCCCTGAACCATCTCTCCAGTCACCTCTAGAATGGTTGTAAAACATTTTAGCTTCTAAATTGTTACATTTGAAGGCCTACAACGACCTCAATTTGTGTTTCAGGTAACTGAAAAAAGAAAATGAAAGGCACTAAAAGAAGCCCTACTGAACAATCTCTGTACCTGGACTTCTGTCAGCAAACGGAAGGCTGCATCTTTCCTCTTCATACGTCTATAGCTTTGTTCTTATTATCATACTGTGACTGCAAGATCTTTAAAGTTTACTTAGTCCTCACCAAAGAAAATCCAGATAGTTCACTACTAAGAGATATACTGTCCCAGGATAGGGAAATACAGGTTATTTCAAGGCAAGAACTCCCACCGATAGTTCAGAATTGTTGTTTGCCTGCAGTTGTAGAACAACCAGATGTCTTTTGTAGAGCAGGACTTGCTGTCGTACTAAGACACATAATCCAGAAATCATATGAAGCCGACTCCTCAAGGAAAGAAATTTTGGAACTTCTGGGTTTTAAAAAGACTTGTTTGAAAGCCTGTGCTGAAGTAAGTATGCTTTTTGTGTTATTTAAAGCTACAAATATGAACATGTATTTTGACTTCCTGTTGGGGATATAGTTTTGTTTATTAAATCTCCCACAAGGACTACTGAAATAGTTAAAATATCCTTTCATATATTGCAGTTTACACTGCAGTACTGAAAAATAAGAATTTAAGATTTAAGATTTAATTTATGAAGTTTGGTTTGAGATAAGTTTTTTGTCCTTGAGTTATATTGAGGATTTTTTTAAAGAAATGTTTCTATATACATAAGAGCTCAAATATCAATACACTTTGTATTTTAAATATGATATATTGCTGTATTTTAAAGGCTTTGGGAGATAATTACTTATTCAGTGAGAGAATACAGCAATGTATAACCTCTACAGTTTCAGGTTTCCACTTGTGAAGCACTGTAAAGAGTACTTTGATCTAGCATTAAAGCCTAGCCCAAGGATGCTTAGGCCATCACCTAAATGATCTAAACCAGTCCTATTTCCCCAATAGTAATTTTTCTTCAGGATATGTTGTAAGGAAAGAATCTATCACTTACTGTGTATTTTGTAGGTTAGTCAATGGACTAGGCTATGTGAACTCACCATCCCTTTGGCTGTTGAGAATTTTCTCAGAGAGTCTCCTGACAAACCCCCAGCGATCCCTGTAGAAATAGTACAGCTGGAGAGAAAACTCAGCGAGCCTGTTAGAGTGCACAACGATGACAAACTCCGCAGGCAGAAGCTGAGGCAACAGAAAGCTACTGGAGCTGAGCCTCTCCCTGGTAAGGAAAAAGCAAAAAGTAAAATCTGTACACAGCAAGCATCCAAAGAGCTGGCCTGTTCATCTAAGAGTCTGGAACTGAAAGTGGCATTTTCAAAGCTCACAGTGCAGGAGGAACTGCCTACTGCCAGCAGGGAGCCTTCTCACATCAGAAAAGCAAAAGCCACTGACCTTCCACCTCTGGAGCATGTGTTTGCAGAAGGACTGTACTTCACTTTGACAGACATCGTTCTTTTGCCCTGTATCCACCATTTTTTGGTAAGGATTTATCATGAGTGTATATGTTACCATATGTCTCAATCTGGAAAATTGCTTAGGTTTGAATTTTGGTTCTGCTACGTTATACTCCTGAGCAAATTATTATCTGTTTCTATTTTCTTGTCTATAAGATAGAGATAATACTGCCTCACTGCTGTTGTCAGGCTGCTGATGTCCCCCCAAAAGGCCTATGTGTTGAAGGCTTGGTTCCCCAGACTGTAGCATAATTGGAAGGTGGTGGAACCTTCAGGAAGTAGGACCCAGTGGGAGGAAGTTATGGCAATGGCAGTGTGCCATTGAACTGGATATGGACACCCTGGCCACTTGTTTCTTTTTGCTTTATTTACTTGACACGACCAGGTCTCTTCCACTATGCATTCATGCCACAGTACACTGTGCTGGTCCAGGGTCAACGCAACAGGTTCAAGTGACCATGAACTGAAATCTCTGCTACTGTGAGCCAAATGAACCTTTTCCTGTAGTATGTTAATTTTCTCAGTGATTTTGTTAAGGTGCTGAGAAGCTGTTTAACCTACTCTAGGTGACCAATGTAAGTATATGAAATTGTGATGAATTTTGACTTACTAAGATGTTAGTAATTAATATGATTGTTAATTTTAAGTTGCTATTGTGATTATCTTCTAATATTAGAGGATCCAGTATTAAACCTAAAAACTGAAAACACTTGTCAGCTATAGTTTATAAATAAATAATGATTGTGCTAGGAATTACGTCAAATCAGAGGTTTTTTTTTTTCTTGTTTAAATGCTTTTATGTAAGATTGCATGCTATTCTGTACAGTGGGGAACTATAGTAGAGATTATCTATCTCTTTCCCTCTTACCTGTCTACCTGCTTATCAGTCATCTGCCTATCTGTCTACCTACCTACTTATCTATCATCTGTCACTCATCTATAATGTATCTACCTACTTATTGATGTTCATACCTATAAAGAACCAGATAAAAATACCAGAGTAACCACGAGAAGCTAACTTTGTACAGCTTTCCAGTTGGTTCTTAAGGGCTGCACTTCTCTCTCTCTCTCTCTCTGGTAAGTTTTTATTATTTATTTATTTATTTATTTGACCTTTTTGAGACAGGTAACCCTGTAGCCCCAGCTGGCCTGGAACTCACTATGTAGACCAGGCTGGCCTTGCACGCACAGACATCTGCCTGCATCTGCCTCCTGAGTGATGGGATTAAAGGCATATGCCACCACGTCCAGCTTCTATATTTATTTTTATGTGTATGAGTGTGTTACTTATACATTGCATGTGTATAAGTGCACCTGTGTTGTGCAACGCCCATGGAGGACAGAAGATGGCATTAGATACCCAGAACTGGAGTTATGGAGGGTTCTTAGCTGCCATGGGGTTGCTGGGAACTGAACCCCAGGTCTTTTGCAAGAGCAGCCAGTAGTCTTAACTGCTGAGATCTCTCCAGCCCAAGAGCTGCATTTCTCTTAATCTGAAACATTTTACCCCTTTCCCTACTAAGGAATGAGAAACCAGATGTCATTCTCATTGTGCATCATCATCATCTTACATGTCTCCATTGGAAGGCAAAAAAAAGACTTCTATGGAAGACTATAAATTTGGAGCAGGTACAATAGGGAGAAATTGTTATTTGTTTAAGGAACATTATTTTTGTTGTCAAAAGTGAAACAAAAAAGGCAGCAACCAAAATTACTTCAGAGTAATCAGTATGAAAAAAGAGGTTCAGGAGCTGCTTAAACATACTTTAGATGTCATATGACTGTCTTTTCCTAGTCAGGTGATTCCTAGATTCTCTTACCCAGACTCTTCCTTTCTGTTACTGCAAACTCTAGTCTTTTCAGCACTTATATGATATGAAAGACTCGGCATTACTCAAGAATTGAATCAATGTGGTATATCCACTCATTATTTGTAGATGCTGAGCGCTCATTGTGTATGTCAGAAACTCTTAAAAGCACTAGGAATATGGTGCTGAACAAGATAGATAAGAGCTCAGACTTCGTGGAGTTAATTTTCTAGTTAGGGAAGGAAGAAATGAGCAAGTAAACAAACAAATAATATTTATATAAAATAATAAGTGCTACAGAGAAAATAAAATGAAATGTATCTGATTTTTAATTTAAGAAAGCAAAAAACAAATTGGGTTCACCTGCACGAAGGTGACTTTAAGTCATCCAGATGGCCCTGTTCATCTCAGATGATTTGCATTTCATTTTAGATTAATTTAAATGCTATTTACCTGATTGGGATTAATCAAAGCCAGAGTATTTCTAAGTGACAGAATTTTTTCTTTCTCTAATCAGATTGCAACCTAAGTTAAGTCTGTCTGCTATTACAGAGGAGCTTTAGTCTTATCTTAGTTTAAAATGGGGCAAAACTGGCCAGTTAGATGGCTCGGCAGGTAAAAACACTTGTTGTGTACAAACTGGACAACCTGAGTTCGATCCCCGGAACTCAGAGTAAAAGGAGAGAATTGACTCCTGAAAGTTGTTCTCTGACCTCCATAAACGTGGTGACACATGCCTGCACTCAAACATACATACAATAATAATTAAAATATTTAACTATTAAAAATAAGGCAAAACTGTGTAGTTAGCCTTTTCTGTTACACATATGATTATATTGGTTGTGTGTTATTTTGTTTTGAGACAAGGTCTTGTATATCCCAGGCGATTGCCTATGTAGCTGAGGATGACCTTGAACGTCTAACCCTCCTGCCTCCACCTCTCCTGTGCTAGTATTACAGGTATGCATCTCTAGGCCCAGTTTATGCAGTGTGGAAGAGGAATCAAACCCAGCTCCAGAGCTTTTTGATCCTAGGCAATCATTTTACCAACTGAGCTATGTCCCCAGCCCATTGTTTTTTGACATTTAATATGTAAATTCGTTCTCAAAGTATTTTTCTTTATTTCTTTGTATATTTCCTGGATCTTCACACTTTCTTTCAAGAATTCATCTTTCTTTTCCAAAGCCTTGATGTTGTTTCTGTTATATTTTCCTCCTGTAAGTTATTTTTGGTAATGTAGCCATCATTTGGTTCTTACAGTAGTTATGTTGGCAAACCTTTCTGCTTGGATTTACACATATTGAGGTGAGGAGCTGGCAGTCCAAGTGATCAGAATCAGGATCAAGTTTGCAGATTCTAAGTTTAGATGTGAAGTGTCGAACCAAGCCAGGGTCAGAATATTAGCCACAAATAAGGTCAAGTACATAAAAGAGCAGTTAATTTTGCTACGTCAAGGTCTGGTTTACTAGAGTTCTAAATTAGAAGACCTAAGGAAAATACAAAGTTATGTTAAGCTGGGCCTGGTGGCACACACCTTTTATTCCCAGCACTCTGGAGGCAGAGGCAGGCAGCTCTCTAATAAAGGCCAGCCTGGTCTACATAGTGAATTCCAGGGTAGCTGGGGCTACAAGAAAAAAAAAAAAAAAAAAAAAAAAAAAAAAAAAAAAATAGATGTTATGTTAAACAGAAGAAAGCTAAAGATGTAAAACATTATAAGGTAGTGTGGCTGAGGTGTTGTCATCAGCCTACTCCATGCTTTTAAGCAGACAGTAAATTCCAAAGTTAATTTCCAATGGTCCAGCACTTTTTCATGGAAGATCCCTGGCAATACCCTCTTTATTGGAAAATTGTAAGAGTAGATTTAAAAGGAATGAATTAATGTACAGAATTCTTAGGCCCCTTTCTTTCATTCATTTGTTAGAATCCTCTACTAGGAAGTATATCTGGGTATAGGAGAACTAGTAATGAATGAATACAGTAAGGTGAAATCTTGCTGCTCAGTGCCAGAACATTGTATAGCTATTTTCCTTCTGCTACTAATAAGCAGGTACACTTTGGTATAGCAGCTTATGGTTATTCTATGAGACAGGGAAGTTGGAGTTTTATTACCGTTATTAATTTAAGCACTTGATATTTAATTTTCTACATTTTAACTTATATACTTTAGAATTAGCTAAAATAAGATCATTGCCATTTAAAAAATATTTTTGGGCAAAATACCTATACTAACAACCTTTTGCATTTTTCTCATTGGCATTAGAAGTCCTTTAAGAGTTTCCATTTTTAACCCATTAGTTCTAATCTGTATAGAAAAATAGAAGATTAGAATTGTGTTTATATTGAGATAGTTTAGTTCCTAATTTTTTCTCTGTGTACATTGCTCAGGTAAACATTTGTGAGTAGGACATTTCAAAAAAGTAAAATGATGAGGAAATGATGTAAAACAAGCACAGATATTTTCTAATACATGAAAAGGAAAGAACATAGTAGATAGAAAACTTGGATAGCTAACATTTTGATATTCTTTGGGGGGAAGCACATTTCTGCCCTCATTACATTAACTGCAAAGCCACTGTGGGTTCATTTTGCACTCTTGGTCACACTGGTAGCAATGCTTGTTTAAAACCATTAATTTAAAATAAATTCTCCCTTTTTTTTTTTTTGTAAAGAATTCTGTAATAGTGGTAATTTTTCCTAAATGTTTTTATTAGTGCTTTGAGAATTTCATACAATGTATTTAATTCATATTTGTTCCCAAATCCTCCCCCTAATTTCTCCCAGATCCAACCCCTCCTTCCTACCCCCCAATCTGTTGTGCTTGTTTTCAGCTTTGCTATCCCATGTAGCCTGCATAAGCACCTGACAATACCATGAGAGCTAGGCAGCAGGGAGGAAGCTTCCTGGTAAAAACTGACTTGATTTCTCCATGTCTTGTGACCATTATGTGTGCTGTGTTCCTCAGTAGGGTCTTATCTTTCTGGTGGGCAGTTGAGCAGTTACAATACCCTGTATTATGTCTGGAACTCAAGGGGAGGTATCCCAGACCTGGCACTAAACTTTTTATTAGGCTTCCATATGGCTTTTTCAAACATCCTTAGAATTAGTTACCCTCCTCCTCTGCCTTTCCCTCCCATCCCTCTCCCCACTTAAATTCCCTCCCCATTATTCCCCTTGTCTCCGTTATATCATTAACTCCCCTCCCTTAAGAGCTTTCCCC